AAAGTGTCCCTATTATAAACTATTACATTTTTATGACTAAAAACTTGTCCTCTTGTTTTTTATATAAGTATAAATATAGTGATTAATGTTTTTATTGTCTTTAAAACCCCACTTTTCCTAATTACTTTAAGATCAAATCTAGTCACTGGACTTTGACCAGCGTCATAAAAGATTAAGATTTTATTGTGTTTGATAAGACACACCCTTAAAAAAATGAACCTATTTTTGTGATGTGTTTTTTAAAATAAGACCCACTCTTAAAGATGATTAATCTATAGTTTTTTACTTTTGTGATATACTTGTTTGTTTTGTTTTAAAGATCATAAAACCCTACCCCCACCCTTTTAAAACCACAGCCCTTTGTTTTTTTAACTGTCACTTCCACTCAAAAAAATGTAATTTTTTACCCTTAGAAACTCTTTTTTTTTTTTTACTCAGGGCTATGGAGTTTTGAGAGACATGAGTTGCCCCCCCGCGTGTGATGCCGGCTTAATCAATAAACTCCAATGAATTTGGCTACGTTTAGATGTCCTCTTATTTCTCCCTTAATAGACTATGACATCTAGAGGCCCCAGATACTGCACCTGGCACGTGGGTGAGCGTCCTAGGGAGAGTGGCCTTGCTTGATCTGACTGCCAACTCCCGGGAGAGTGCACTAGGGGAGGCAGCACCTGGGACTTCCCCGGGCCCCACAGCTACCTTTTGGGTTGTTGACGACTGACAAGAGACACTGAGTGCTCTTCCAAAAAATTATAGAGTTTTAATACAAGCCCTCCAGAGACATTTCTTTGGGTGTTCCTGTCCTATCCTGTCCTGTCCTGTTCTTTAGACCCTCTTAAAAGACAAACCAGTGAGTAAGGGGTTGGCAGGAGACCCCTGCTGACCTGCTGGATCACAAATGACTAGACAAGGCTGCCCCCTAAAGTCTGACCTGCTAGATCACAGGTGGCTAGGAGTCCAGGTGGCCCCTAAAGTCTGACCTGCTAGATCACAGGTGGCCGGGCAGGGCTGCCCCCTGAAGTCACACCTATTGAGAGATTGACACCAGGGTTAAAGGTGTCCCTGTCAAGGCTTGACTCCCAAAAAATTTCAAAAATTCCTCCACAGATAGCCAAATTCATGGCTCCACACAGGGTTATAAAACCCCTACTTAGGTTCCACCAGATGTACTTGGGATCGAGGGACTAAAGGTTCGACCCTTAGATAATTTTTAAAAAATCAAGGTTTAAATCCCTAAAAATTTCAAAATGAGTTTCTTCTACTTTTTCTGTTGTTTTACTTATTTTCTCCACACCCTCTTAAAAAATATTGCTTAGTTCTATCTTATTTCCCTTTCAATCTTAAGAGAACTACTCCATCTTAGAAAAATGACTCCATCTTGAAAAAGCACACCTCCATTATGAACTATTAAATTCCTTTGACTAAAAATCTGCCCTCTCCCCGTTTATGTAAGTATAACTATAGTGATTAACATTCCTATTGTCCTTAAAACCCCACTTCCCCTAATCACCTTAAGATGAGGTCCAGTCACTGGACTTTGACCAGAGCCATAAAAGATTATTAAGATTCCACTGTGTTTAATAAAGACACACCCTTAAAAAAAATCAACCTACTTCTGTGATGTGCATGTGTTTTTTTTTAATAAGACCCACCCTTAAAGATGATTAACCTACTGTTTTCTACTTTTGTGATACACTTTAGCTTGCTTTGCTTTTAAGATCATAAAACCCTACCCCCTACCCTTTGTTCTTGTAACTGCCACTTTCACCAAAAAAAATGTAATTTTTTACCTTTATAAACTCCTTTCTCCTTTCACTCAGGGCTACGTGGTTTTGAGAGACATGAGTCCCCCTATATGCCGCCGGCTTAATCAGTAAACTCCAATAAATTTGGCTATGTCTAGATGTCCTGTTATTTCTTGCTAAATAGACTAACAGAGAGAGACAGAAAGGAAGAGAGGCAAAGTGAGAAAGCACTCCCTGGGGGTATGGCCATGCCACAATCCTTTCTCCTCCATTCTCTCGGATCTTAGGCGCACATGCACATGTGGCCAGCGTGTTTTTCAGTCCGTCAGGTCCAGAACTTGAACCATGCAGTTGGCCATGTGGGGTCCAGCTGCTTTCACCTCCATGTGGCACCTGCTGGCCCCATACAGTCATCTGTTAATGGCCCTTAGATTGGCTCCATGTCTTGGCTTTTTTTTTTTTTTTGGAGAAGTTTTCGCTATAGGGCGCGTGCGCTCGCCAGACAGACAGAGACATAGAGACAGAAAGCGAGAAATCACCCCCCAGGGGGGATGGTCACGCCACAATCCCTTCTCCTCCATTCTCCTCTCGGGATCTTGGGCACGCATGCACATGCGCCCGGCGTGAGATTTAAGCCACCGGGTCCGAGATGCGAACCGCGGTCGACTACGTGGGAGTCCAGCGACATAGCCATTACGCTAACTGCTGGTTCCCCATGTCTTGGCTTTTTTGAGTGTATTGTAATAAGAACTTCTGTCTGCCTCCCTTACCCCTACTCTTTCCAGTATCTGGTAACCACAGTTCTACTCTAATTTTTTAAGATTGGCATTTGTTGTTATTTTGTTTTGCTTAAATGAAAGAGAGATAGAAAAGCACCGCCAACAGGGTTTCGTTATGCTGTGATCCTCTTTCTCAGCTTTTCAGCTTGTCAGAATCCTGGACAGGCATTACTATAATACTCAATAGTAGGATTCCTGGATCATATGGTAGTTCTATTTTTATTTTTTGAGGAACCTCTATATTGTACTCCATAATGGCTACACTAATACACATTCTCACCAACAGTGTAGAAGAGTTGCCCATTTGGGGCCAGCGCCATGTCATGGTGGCTAAGGCAGCTGGAACTCACATGGCTGACAATGTGGTTGAGTCTCAGACCTGAAGCCTTGATAAACATGCCAAGCACATCTGCCCAGAAACCTTAAAGGAAAGAAAGGTGGAGGGGAAAGGATTGTGATGTGACCAATTTCCCATGAGGGGAATGCTTTTTCCTCTCTCTGTCTTTTGTGTACCCTCTCATAAAAAGAAAGAGTTCCCCTTTCTCCATTCTCACAGCTAGATACTCTTTATCATTAACTCTTAAGATGTTGTTAGATAAAGCTTAACTTTGAATTCTGTCCAAAATAATTTGTCGTATGCTCGTTTTGTACAAGATGCTGTTGTGTACGAATTAAGTGTAACTCAGTCTCCACTTCTGAATTTAGAGTCTGTTGTAGAATGGGAAAGAGGTTGGAGTGTACAGGCCCCTGTTCAGGCAGAGTTTCTAGTAGAGGTTGGTTATATAAAAGACCATCATATAATAACAAATATTGTACAGTTAGCCCCCTCTATCTTTAGATTCTTCATCTGGGTATTTAACCAACCTCAAATTACAAATATTTGAAAAAAAATTGTTTCATCAGTACTGAACCCACACATTTTCTTGTCATTATTCCCTGAAAAATGCAGTGGAACAGTGATTTATATAGGGTTTACATTGTGTGAGGTATAAGTAACCTGGAGATGATTTCAAGTATGCAGAGGAGGTACCTAGGTTATAGATTAAATACTGCACCATTTTACATAAGGTTCTTGAGGATCTGTGGGTTTTGGTATTCAAGGGAGATCCTGGAACCAGTCTCCTTTGGATACCAAGGAGGTAACCTTTTAACTTAAAGAAAAATGCTATGCTAAAGGATTGGCAAGATACACAATGAAATGACAACAGCAGGTTATGAAATGTTATAGCACAACAGAATAAAAAAGGGCATTGCCAATGTTAAGAGTTTGTGTGTGTGTGTCTCAAAAAAAAAAAAAAAAAAAAAAAAAACCCAAAACCACTTGTTGGTAGAAATAAAAACCAAGGATGCAAACCTTGAAGTTCTTTGTTAAAGATGATGAATATGGTAATATCCCTGATTTGCTTATCATACAGAGTACGCATGCATTAAAAAACCTTACTGAGGGCCAGCAAGTGGCATAGTGACTAAGGCGCTGGACTCCCACTTGGCTTAATGCATTTTGATTCCCATACCTGCAGCTAAAATCACACTGGGCCGACATGCGTGCCCAAAATCCTAAAGGAAGAAAGGAAGAAAAGGGATTGCTGCATGGCCATTCACTCTGGGGGGCAATTTCTCACTTTCTTTCTCTGTCTCTCTTCAGTGAATGCATGCACCCTATTTCAAAAACCTAAAATAAGTAAATAAACAAATGAAATAAATATTAAAAATATCCCACAGAGGGACCAGCAGTTGGCATAATGGCTATGTTGCTGGACTCCCATGTAGTTGACCGTGGTTCTTGTCCTGGACCCGGTGGCTTAAACTCACACCAGATACATGTGCGTGCATGCCCAAGATCCCAAGAGGAGAATGGAGGAGAAGGGATTGTGGCATGACGATTCCCCCCAAGGGGTAATTTCTCGCTTTCTGTCTCTCTCTGTCTTTATGGTGAGCTCATGCACCCTATAGCAAAAACCTCTCCCCAAAAAAAAAAAAAAATCCCACAGAGATGTACAACAATTAAATGTGAATAAGAAATTATAAAATAACATGTAAAAACCAGCAAGGGTAAAAAAGCAACATGTGTAACATCAGACTGTGGTGTTATGTTTGTGTATGTTTATGAGGTATATGTGTATATATTATATCAGTGGACAGATTTTGGAAAGCTTTATAAGAGAGTGAATTCTTGTAAAGCTGGGGAGCAGGACTCTTGAGGGAGGGGATCTTGTGTATCGGGATGATTGATTTATTTTGCATTGCATGCCTTTTTTTCTTTCAGTGGGTTATTTGTATTTAGAAAATAACTACCCAGTCTGTGAACAGCTTTAATAAATATGTTTAGCAATATACGTAAATGGCCATAGTTACTATACTGATACTTCCCAAACATTGAAGGTGATACAAGTACAGAAAAGCTTGATTTTAGTTGTCGCATTTGTTTTAGAAAATTTTTGCTGACAGATACTTATATTTACTTATTTATTTATAGGGAGACCAAATTTTGAGGAAGGTGGACCAACATCAGTGGGGAGAAAGCATGAATTTATACGATCAGAAAGTGAGAACTGGCGCATCTTTAGAGAGGAACAGAATGGAGAAGATGAAGACGGAGGGTGGCGCCTCGCTGGGTCGAGAAGGGATGGAGAGAGGTGGCGGCCCCACAGCCCTGGTAAGAACGCCCTTGACACAGCGCACAAGGGGCTGAAATAAACCAGAGTCTGGTGGAAGTTGTTAGGGATTGAATGGAAAAGATAACTGGTAAACAAAAACAAAAGTCTTTATACTTCTACCTAGACTTATTGCTGCAAAAATATTTCAGCATAAAAATTCCCTATCTATTCAGCTGATTGAAAACATTTCTCTATATTTTTCTGGGGCAAATAGTGCAGTAAATAGGAAGCACCTGCCCCTCTCAACTACAAAAATGGGACAGTCTCACTCAGTTTTGACTAAGTCTTTGAATCTCTTTTTCAGCTTTCCTTAAAACTTAGAAAGGTATAGTTGTACACTTGAAATATTTACTTCCCACTCCCATAATGAATGTTTTATCTGCATAAGAAAGAATTTATTATTTTCATTGTTTTTCTCCTGAAAATGTGATTTCTGCTTATTTGAAGAATAAACTTTAAGCTCAGGTCAAAAAACATAATCACAAGTTTGTTCTTTTGTTTCTCTTAACTATAGAGAAAAGAGAGAGAATAGTAGTGATTAGTGGTTTTTTGTAAGTTCTTCTGTTTGGCTCTTAAGAATGCTTTAAACTGTTCTTCTCGGACATTAGATATGCTGGTAATTGAAGACACTGGTGCTTTGTGTTAAAGTTCATCCCCACCAGAGTGCTGATTCCATGCCTCATGATAATCAGATGTAACTGTAGTTTGAATCGTGGGGTCATGCAAAACTTAAGCATACAAAGAGTGTTTATATGCTTTATGAATTTCATGTGCATAACAATAGTTTATCAATTCTATCCAAGGAAGCTTACCTTTAATACAAGAAATTATAATGTAAGCTAAACTATTTTATCTTTTAAAACTCAAATCGAACCATAAACTTGGGTCTGAGTAAGCCTATGAACAGACATTTACAGTATTTTTGGAGTTGTAGGTAGGTAGAAACATAGTGAACTTACTCTATGGATAGAGTTGTGATGCTTTTCTATCAACCCTTCTTGGTTGTCTCTTGGGTAGGTTTTGTGTCATTGATGGGCATTATTTACCTCATAGGATCTAGGTAGTTCTAAATAGCCTGTGTCCTGGGCAACCAGATGGTACAGTTCTCTTCAAGGCATCATGGGCATTTTGTGCTGACCTTGCACGTAAGCAGAGGGTTTGTAGACTATGCTCCCAATAAGCGTTAAGTGAAGAATGGACAGGACCTGGGCTGAGCAAGAAGAGGAATTCCAGCTGGTCAAAAACAAACAAGGTGAACGTTTTGGAAGATGAACAGTGTTTTTGAGCCCAAATGTCTGATGTTGATTCTATAAAAGGGAATTAAAGAAAGTAAATTTTAGTGCTATATTTTTTTTCCCCCAAAGTTTTTTTGCCATAGAGTATGTGAACTCATTGGAGAGATAGTGAGAGGGAAAGTGAGAAATATGGCCACACCACAATCCATCCTCCTCTATTCTCTTCCCGGGCTTTTAGGCATGCGTGCATGAACACCCTATGTGTGTTTCAAGACACCAGGCTTGGGACTCAGACCATGGTGTCTATGTGAGAGTCCGGTGCCTTAACCACCATGCCACCTGCTAGTCCCAATTTTAGTGTTATCTTTTACTGTTGACCTCTACTCCCCACCCAACAACTTAGAATTTGATTATATATTATTTTTTTATCTTTTCCTAAATCTTTGTTTTCCCTAATATTTGGCCTTTATGTTATTTTTATTGCAACTTCATAAACTTTCAAACTTTATTATTCATATATCTTTTAAAATTTGCTATAGGGTGTGTGAGGTTGCTAGAGAGAGAGAGAGAGAGAGACAGAGAGAGAGAGAAAGCACCCCCCAGCTGCATGACTGTGCCATGCTCCTTACTCCTCCATTCTCCTCTTGGGATTTTGGGTATGGACACACATGTGCCCAGCATGTATCTCAAGCTGTCTGGTCTGCAACTTCACCTTCACAGTTTGCCATGTGGCATCCAGCCACCTCAGTCACTCACTGTACCTCCTGGTTGGCTGTATCTCTCTCTCTCTCCCTCTGTGTTTGTTTGTGTGTGTATTTTTTTCCTGTAGGGGGCATGTGCTTGCCAGAGAGACAGAGAAAGTAAGAAATCAACCTCTCCCCCCACCCAAGGGCATGTCATGTTCCATCCCTACCTCTCCATTCTCCTCTGACGGTCTCGAACACGTACCACGTGTGCCTGGTGTGCTTCTCAAACTGCCAGTTCCAGGACTCAAACCATACAGTTGTCCATGTGGGATCTAGCGCCTTAACCTCCATGCTACCTGCTGGCTATATATGTGTGTGTGTGTGTGTGTGTGTGTATACACATACATACATATATATGTGTGTGTGTGTGTATAGTTTAAAGACTGGGAAATATAAAGATGTACAAGTCAGTAAAAATACTGTAAATGAGGGGTTTTTTGAAATGACTTTTTTAACATAGTTATTGAAAGTTTAGTCTGATTATTGTGATTGTCATATGTTAATACTAAGCATTTCTTAGATTATAGTTAATTTTTTTTAAAGAGGTTTTTGCCTTTGGGCATGTGTGCTTGGGGTTGGGGGAAGAGTGAACAAGACAGTGACAAAGACAGGAACAGTGAAAGAGAAAGTGAGAAACCACCTCCCAGGGGGGATGACCACAGCGCAGTCTCTTCTGTTCCATTATCCTCCGGGATCTTGGGCATATATGCATGTGCACCCGGCATGAGTTTCAAGCTACCAGGTCTGGGACTCAAATTGCAGTCAGTCATGTGGGAGTCTAGTGTCATAACTGCTATGCCATTGATGACCTCTACGGTTAATTTATTTTAGCCTTTGGGTAAAATTTTAAATATATTTGGACTGATTTTATCTGAGGAAACAGTATCTAACTTCAGCTTGGATGTAAGCTCTATTAAGCAGTGGTAAATCTTTATAAGCTATAGATCTGCCTTTCCAGCAACGTTTAGTTTTATACATAAGATTGTATCGACTGTTGGTAAGACAATAACAAAATTGTGTGATAATGTGTTGTTAAAGTAGGACTCACAGCTGGGTGTGTGGGAAGGTGGGGGTATTAAGGACATGAGGTATACTCTGGGAGCTGAACGTAGGAGACTCAGTGAGAGGTAGCTCCTGTCGTGGTGTGTGCTGAGACTGCTGAGAGAGGAGCAGGCAGAGGACTCTGGGATGTGCCACACGGTCATGAAGACTCCTGTTTAGTAATAGCTCTAGGCTTGTGTTTACACAATCTGGTTGTAGAGTTGTTTAGTTCTCATAGTGTATAGAAAGTAGTGTTCATTGTAGGTAGGGCTGGAGAGTGTGACTTATCTTTTTGTAAGTCACTTATAAGATGTGAGTGACTTATAAGATGCTACCTGTATTTGACATTTTAACATTTTGCCCTGTATTTATTTCTTTTTTCTTTTTTTTTTTTTTAGAGGTTTTTCATTATAGGGCGTGTGCGCTCGCCAGACAGATAGAGACAGACAGAGAGACAGAAAGCGAGAAATCCCCCCCCCAGAGGGGATGGCCACGCCGCAATCCCTTCTCCTCCATTCTCCTCTCGGGATCTTGGGCACGCATGCACACGCACCTGGCGTGGGTTTTAAGCCACCGGGTCCAGGACGCGAGCCGCGGTCGACTACGTGGGAGTCCAGCGACAGCCATTACGCTAACTGCTGGTTCCCACCATTTTGCCTTTTATTTTTCAGTTTGATGTTTCAATAGCTGGTCCTAGCAAATTGGGTCTTGCTAGTAAGAACATTTAACTTTGGCCTCATTTCTTTTGTGTTTCTCCCACAGAGAAAGCAATCAAGGGGAGAAAATTCTAATTGATTAAAAACTGCTCTTTTTTTTTTTTCTTTAAATACCCTTTTAGACTCAGGTTTGTCAGATTTTAACAAGCATTTTCTTTTCTCTTTTAGGAAACTACCCTAAGTAGGATCTCTTAGGCAGTCTTTTTCTGTTGGAAAGTAGATGCAATAAAGGGGATGCTAGGGTGGATTTAGGAATGTCCCTGGGGGTGTTATACAGAACTTAAAAACTCTCTCGGGAGAGTTAAGAAATGAGAATAAAAGGGAAAGAAAATTGCACATGTTGTCATGGACTTGATTCTAGCTGTACTTGGCCATGGTGCAGGCTCCTCCTGCTTCCGAGTTTAGTTTCTTTTTACACTGTAAAGCTAGGATAGTGCTCCGTACAAAATCTCCGCAATCCATCAAGGCCTAATTCATGACTTTTTATTAGAAATCCAAGTTGCAAATGGGAACTTGGGATTAGGATGTCAGCGTGATGAGTTTGATATTATGAGTTGACACAGGAAGCTGGCCTTATCTGTAAGGAGTGATATTTTCATAGGAAGAAAGAAAATACTTTCAGACTCGTCAAAGGGAAGGGATAAACAATGTGGAAAGATGCCCGGTGCTAGAAGGCAGGTCTCAGAGTAGGCCACACAAGTGCTCATCCGCAGATACCTAATGCGTATTAAAAGTGTCCTTTAAATATGCTTGTTCTTTTAACGTGTTAAGAGTATATTGAGGGGCCAGTAGGTGGCATGGTGGTTAAGGCTTGGGATTTCCACATAGCTGACCACAGTTTGAGTCTCAGACCTGGGACTTACTTTCTCTCTTTTTCTTTATCTCTCTGTGTCTCTCTGATGAGCACATGTGCCCTATAGTAAATTAAAAACAAACAAATAAATAAATAAATACTTCTTTTAAAAAGTATATTGAATGGCTTAGCACTCAGTGAAGGTAGGTATAGTTGTTCTTTAGCGATGATTCATACACACTGAGCTCTGAACTTCACTAAATAGGTCTAATATTTTTCTTGGATAGCATAAGCCATTTGAATTTTCTGTCAGTTGTAATTTCCTCCCTGATTATTTTATCTGTGCCTTTCTTTTTCAAATTCTGTCATAAAACTTTTCTAAGGTTTGTATCCTCCTCACCCCAGATGGCCCTCGTTCTGCAGGCTGGCGGGAGCACATGGAACGGCGGCGAAGGTTTGAGTTCGATTTTCGAGATCGAGATGATGAACGGGGTTACCGGAGGGTGCGCTCTGGCAGTGGCAGCATAGATGACGACAGGGACAGCTTGCCTGAATGGTGCTTAGAGGATGCTGAGGAGGAGATGGGCACATTCGACTCATCTGGAGCATTCCTCTCTCTAAAAGTAAGACATTGGTTTGGAGTGTCAACACAGGCACTGACCTGATAAGCCAAATATGCTGCTGACCTCGGTTTTATTTTCCTGCCACAGAAAGTACAGAAAGAGCCTATTCCAGAAGAGCAGGAGATGGACTTCAGGCCTGTTGAGGAAGGAGAGGAGTGCTCTGATTCTGAGGGCAGCCATAACGAAGAGGCCAAAGAACCTGATAAGACGAATAAGAAAGAGGGAGAGAAAGCAGATAGAGTTGGTAAGTCCTCCTTTTGCCTTTCCTTTTCCTTTTCCTTTTTTTTTTTTTTTTTTTTGTGGCCAAGTCAGAACTTTCCTAACTTCATTTAAGATGATTTTGTTTTCCAGAAGCAAGTGAGGAAACACCACAAACCTCCTCCTCATCTGCGAGACCAGGTACTCCTTCAGACCATCAGCCTCAGGAAGCACCACAGTTTGAGAGGAAAGATGAATCAAAAACTGAGCCAATGGAAAAAGCTGAAGAGGAGAGTAGGATGGACAACAGCGTGCCAGCCACAGTGCCCAGCCGAGGGGACGGTACGTGTTTGTGTGTGCAGACGAGATAAAGTAGGCTTCTGCCGAGGCCAGGGACTACTGATTGCAAAGCATCTGTTTATGCTTCCTCGTACTGCTTCTGGTGGGCACATTACTGAAACTGATCGTTTCACTGGTAAGCCCAATCAAAGAATGCGTCCTTCGTATGTATTCATCCCCGAATTCGCCAAAACAGAGTTAGAATCCGCAGAGGTGGAGCTCTGGAGTCTTACTTCCTAGAGTGTGGTTACAGCATCACCCTGACTTTACTCTTGCATATTGGATTTGGGATCCTCTGATCGTGTAATCCTCATATCAGACAGATTCCTTTCTTTCACGTAATGACTGTATATCCAGCTGAAATCACCACACAGTGCAACGCAGTGCCATGATGTTCCAAAAAGAGAATGTGAATGAGCGGGCACAAGCCTCTTGCCTTTGTTATAGAGAAGAAGCTTAAAGCCTATCTCAGCCAGTGTTACTGTATTGGTTTAAATTGCCTATGCACCTTTTTAGGCAATATTAACATTCATTTCCATGTTTTTTTTTGGTACATACTGAAAACTGACATTGTAATGCCTGATGTTGATGGGTGAGTTGTTTTGATTCATTCGCCATGAAGAATTACAACCTTTAACATGGCCTGTGAGGCCCTGCCTGCTCTGGTTTCTGCCTCCCTCTGTGCACTTGCAGTGCTAGTCTATTCTCTTTATCTCCCCCATAGTGCTCATCAGCCTCAAAGCTGAAATGTGCCATTTTCCTTATCCTTTTTTTTTTTTTTTTTTTAAATTTGCTGTAGGTACATGTTCTTGCTGGGCAGAGATAGAGAGAGGGAGACAAAAAGGGAAAGTGAGAAACTACCTCCCAGGGAAGATGGCCACATTGCTTTCTCTTCTCCACTCTCCTTTTTGGGTTTTGGGCACACATGCACACCTGCCTGGTGTGTTTTTCATGCTAATAAGCCAGGACTCAAACCATGCATGGCCATGTGCATTCCAGCTGCCTTAACAACACACCACTGGCTGGCCTAGAAATGTGCCCTCTTTTCTTGCTTTTGGATGCCTTAACTCATACTCTTCCGTGCATCCAACCCCCTTTTCCACGCTAAGGCCCCCCCAACTTCTCTTGTTTCCTAAACAACTAACACTTTTCCTAACTTAGCATTATGATATTAAAAAGATCTGTTTATTATTTTTCTCCTGGGACAGAGGAGTTGCCCTGTGCCCTGTGAGACTCTTGGGCGATGACTACAGTGGGCAGTGCATCTAGACAGGGAGGCAGTGGCAGATGAAATTTCAGAGTAGAAATTGGCAGGTCTTATTAATTGACTGACTGTCAGGGTAGAGAAGAGAGAGCCAGATAACTGGTGCCTGAGAGAATTCCGGTGCCATTCACAGAAAAAAGAGTCGGGGTTGAGTGCATTTGGGAGAAGAGGGGATAAATCCAGTTTTGAACATTGACTCTGAGATGTAGATGTAGAATTAAGTAGAGCTGGCCAGAGAGCTGTTGTGAATGATGACAACAGATTAGGGCCAGAGAGTGAACAAAAACCACATGGACAGATGACATACGTTTGTTTGGAGTGAGTAGAAAAATGGACCAAGAACAGAACCTTGGATAAATGCTTTTTTTAGAGAGGAGGTAGAGGAGGAAGAACCAGAGGAAAATTTTCACAGGCAAAAGTAGAGCCAGGGGAGTAGAGTGCAGAGAAACTAAAGGAGAACATTTCATCTTAAAGTTGGGTTGGGAATACCATGTACTGCTGGAGACTGTGACAAGGACTAGGATGATCATTGAATTTAGACCTTTGGTATCTCTGCTTATCTTTGAGAGAGGGGCTTTAATTGGGAGGTGGAGTGGAAGTCACATTGGAGCAGGCGTGGATGGTGGCGAAGTGGAGAGAGCATGTGTGAGCTGTCTGTAAAAAAGTTTGGCAAAGAAAGAGTGAGAAGACCAGGAATTTAGAGAAGCCATCTGTAATTGAACAAACAAGGTTTCAAAGGGGGAAATTGTAATTGTATCTAATTACTTCCATCCCCCTTTTCTTCTTAGAGGCCTGCATACTGAGAGGTTAGAAATAGAAACCCAGACAGAACCTCTTTTACAGTTTTTATTCTTAATGAGAAGAACATCGTCCATTGTACAGGTAGACTCCAAGTGCTTTTCATTATCCTAAAACATGTACTATATTGAATTATACTAATTATGACTCGAAACACGTGCTTATTCAAGGTAGTCCAGGTATCTTTAATAAAGAGGTCGATGAGCTGTGGCGTGTCTCCGAGGTCATTCGGGATGCCTGGATAGCTGCCTTTTGCTGTTGGGACATGTCATGGAGACGAGGCTGACCTGTACGGGCTGTAGGGTGGGTAGATGCCCCACGATGACACAGGGAAGTGCTGCGGGAGGACCTGTTAGGGCCTTTCCTTATCTTTTGTCATTCTTTGGAGGTAATTGCGCCACTCTAGGGAGAAATCCTGCACTTCTCCATAAGAAGAGACTTCAGCGTTTCTGACAACATTCACATTTCTGGGGCCACTCAGCAGGCTGCCCAGTGTGAAAATGCAGTTAATCTTCGTAAGAGTCTCTATATTTCAAAGGATTTTCATCTGTGTAAATTTTTTCCTCAGAAATGGTTCCTGATGTCCAGCAGCCCTTGTCACAGATTCCTTCAGACACAGCCTCTCCTCTTCTCATACTTCCACCTCCTGTTCCCAGTCCCAGTCCTGCCCTGCGGCCAGTTGAAACGCCAGTCGTAGGTGCTCCCGGAATGGGCAGTGTTTCCACAGAACCAGATGATGAAGAGGGTCTCAAACATTTGGAGCAGGTAAAAATCATGTAATTCTTTTTCCTCATCTCAGATTGCCATAAAGATGAGACAGTATTAAAGGAATATTCAAATATAAAACTTTTGTATGTTAGTTTTTAAGTGCTGGAAAAGTTGTTTGGATGTTTAATATTTACTTGTATGAGTAGTTGTCTTTCAAATCATTTCATGCTCATAAGTTTCTGCTATGTAGTAGTCATTATATCAGGTTATTTTTTGCTCTTCTGAGGTTGCCCTTAGCTGTTTACTTTTCTTTTTTCTTTTTGGACATTAGTGGAATGCCAGAAATGGCGAATGTAAGCAGCTGTGGATGGTCACTGTGTCTTCAGGAGTTTTTGCCTCAAGTGTGATAGGAAAAATAGTTTAACGCTCAGAGTATTAACTTTTTTTTTTAAATATTAACATCCTAAGCATGTATAGATTTCCTTAAGATTGTGTATACCATTATTATAGAGAGAGTCCACGATAGCTTGCTTTTCTACAAGAAAATTTTTTTCCCTTTGGGACAAGATGATAGACAACAGGAAATACTGAGAAGAGGAGAAGGGGAATATAGTTAGAGTCCTAGTAAAACTTCTGAAAAGTTGTATTTAAAACCATATTAATTGAGCTGTTGTTCTGTTAGCTTCCCTGGTTTTGCAGGTTTGGTTGGTATGATTTGTAATGACCAATGGCTTATTGGTTTGAATATTACTGTTGTTAGTGTGTTGGTTAGTAGCCTGGATTTTGATCTAGACCAGTTCATGTTTTGGTTGGTTTGCTCAGTTGGTTTGCTTCATAATTCCGAGACCTGAGCACGACTTTACTGATCTGACCCTTGATTCCACTCTGTAAAATGAGAGTGTACCCATTTCATGGCATTGTTGGAAGAAGTAAATTACTACCTGCTGTATTTCTTGCATAGTATCTTATGAAAATAGATCAAGTCATCTAAAAAGGGTAGGCATTTATTATTATGTGTGCAAATATTAATTTAGAGTCATTTGCTTCCTCAGTTGTTTTTTGTCTCTGTTACTAGCAAGCTGAGAAGATGGTGGCTTATCTCCAAGACAGTGCACTAGATGATGAGAGGCTGGCATCAAAACTGCAGGAGCACAGAGCTAAAGGCACATCGATCCCCCTGATGCACGAAGCAATGCAGAAGTGGTATTATAAAGATCCTCAGGGAGAGATTCAAGGTAGGTTGATCTTTTATTTTGTATTTCATTTTTTTGTTTGTTTGTTTGTTTTTTGTTTTGGCTATAAAGCATGTACACTTGCCATGGTGTGTGTATGTGTGTGTGTGTGTATGTAAGGGGTCAGAAAGTGACGCATATGCTCTATAGAGAAGGGATGGTCATGAAATCCCTTCTCTGTTCGCCTCTTGGGATTTTGGGTGTGCATGCACATGAACCTGATGTGTTTTTCAAGCTGCTGAGTCCAGGACTCATGCTGGAGTTAGCTACGTGGGATCCAGCATCTTACCCATCATGCCACCTGCTGCCCTCCCTTTCTACTTTAAATATTAAAGAATCTGCCATTATGTAATCTCCATAGTCTCTGAGAACTGGATTTGTTTCATATCAATTTGCATAATAGCCCACAGACTTTCGTCATACATGAGGATATTATTTAAAATAATTAGAATACAGGCAGAATGTGATAACTAACTTGGCAGGGATATAAGCTGGTGCCTAAGCCTCTCTGGGCGCTGGCATCTTAGCTGGTTAAATAGGCAAGTAAGTTACTCATCTCTGTGTTTCGGTCTCTGCCAGTATTAACGGTGATGGGCAGAGTGTTGGAGGACCTTGAATGTTTTGCTCAAGTGGACTTTATAAAACCAGCAGGGAACTATTGGGTTATTGGGCAAGTTATGACACATTTTTGCACAGGAAGATGTAGAAAAGGTGCCACGACTTTCCTCACAGCCTAATACTAAGGCTCTTTGAGAAAACAATCACATCATTCGGTCTTTGGGAAAGTCCTGAGGTGTTTTTCTATGCAAAAATGCGCCATGACTTTCCCAATGACCCCAATATATTATAAATGAATCCCCTTTTAAACCTTTTTAAGTTTGTGTGATGTAAAGGTGGAGAATAGGGAGAGAATGCTGTAGAGGCTATTTTCTGCTTTTGAAATCTTGGCTTAAACCTGAAATTGATATGTTGACTGTGTCAGGGACAGTTTCCGGATAGCATTTTTACGGAGTACACTGCATGAGCCCTGTCCAGTGTTGCAACTCCACTTCTACACTCCGTCTCCTCACCCTCCTCTTTCTCCTTCATGGCATTTACTGCTCTGACATCATTGTTTGCACCACAGAAGAATGGAGAATACTTGAGAGCGGAGCTTTGTTTGTATGTGTGTGTGTTTTGATTAAATTTATTTTGAGGTAATGATAGCTTCACATGCAGTTGTAAGAAATAATATAGAGATTTCATGTGCCTTTACTCACTTTCCTCCAGTAGCAACCTCTTGTAAAACTATACACAAAGTCCCTGACCTCCAGTGGTTGGACTTAAATGATTTTTTAACTTCACAGTGGTGCAAAAGTGGTTATGTGTTCAGTAGAAATGGTACTTTGAATTTTAATATTTTCCTGGGCTAGCAGTATGCATTTATGCTACCGTTCTTTCACTCTCAATATAACCCATAAACTACCCGAGGTAGTCAGCACTGTATTATAAAATAGGCTTCGTGTTAGATGATCATGCCCAACTATAGGCTAATGTATTCTGAGCACATTTAACATATGGTAACATTCGATGTTCAGTAGTGAGTTATTATTAAATACATTTCCAGCGATAGTATCTTCAATTGATGGGGAGCTTATCAGACTGTAACACCATCGTAAGTCAAGGAACATCTTTATTTGATATCATTAGCACATTATTGACATCAGTAGGGTCAGGAGTCAGGCCATTTCCCTCAACAGCAAACCCTCATGTTGCCCTTTTCAAGCCATATGCATGTATTTCCCTTCCACCCGCACTCCCTCGCTAATCCCTGGCAACCTCTAATCTACTCTCTGTTTCTGTATTTCGTTATTTCAAGAGTGTTATATAAAGTTGAATCGGACCAAGTGTAACCTTTCGAGGTTGGCTCTTTCTCTGGAGATTTATCCAGGTTGTTACATATATCAATAGGTTGCTTTAGTACTGCATGATATGAATGTGTCATAATTTGTATAAACGTTTGCCCATTGAAAGACATCTGAGTCATTAACAGTTTTGGGCTATGATGAATAAAACTATTATAAATGTGCATTGTCAAGTTTTTGTGTGAATGTAAGTGTTTACTTCTATGGAATAAATGCCCAGGAATCCAGTTGCCGAATTCTGGTTGCATTTAAAAAAATATTTTTTTTAAAGAATCATTTTATTTTAAACTTACTTTATTTATTTATTTTAATTTTTCCAGAGAGGGACAGAGAGAGAGAAAGTGCCTGAGAATGAGAAAGCAGGCCTCCGGTTCCGGGACTCGAACTGTGGTCGGCCATGTGGGAGTCCAGTGCCCTCATCACCATGCCACCTGCTGACCCCATCATTTAAAATTTTTTTTAAAAAGTTATTTCATTTAATTTTATTCATTATTATTATTTTTCAATTTGATGAGAGAGAAAGAGAGGGAAAGTGAGGAAGCAAGTTGCCAGGTCTAGGACTTGAACTGCGGTCAAGTGGGAGTCCAGTGCCTTAACCACCATACCACCTGCTGGCCCCAACACGTTAAATTTTTAAAAGGAATTATTAACCTTTTTGGATGGCCACCGGTGTATGAGTGATCTAATTTCTCTACATCCTTACCAGCATTTGATGTTCCAGTTTTAGCCATTTTGACAAGTGTGTGGGGATAATCTCATTTGGTTTTTAATTTGCATTTTCTTAATGGCTAGTAAACATTTTTTTCCCTTCTGTGCTTACTGAGCATCCGTTTGCCCTCTTCAGTGAGATGTCTTCTAATGTCTTTTGTCCATGTTCTCATTGGATTGTTTGCTCTTTTTACTGTTACTTTCTTCAGTTTGAGAGCTTTTATTAAAATACACACAAAATAAAATTTACCATCTCTAAGTGGACTTCTCAGTGGTATTAAATTTATTACTAGTGTTAGGGGATCAGCAGGTGACTTGGTGGTTGAGATGCTGGACACTCCCACATGGCTGACCACAGTTCAAGTCCTGAACCTGGTGGCTTGCTTTCTCACATTCTCTTTCTCTCTCTTTGTCTCTCTCTGGTCAAATTAAAATGAATGAATGAATAAATAAAAATAAACAATTATTTTAAAAATATTACTAGTGTTAAACCATTGCCATCATCTATTTCCCTATATCTTTTTATCTCCCAAATTTAAACTCTATACCCATTAAACATAGTAACTCCCTATCCCGCTTGCCCTATTCCCCAGCAATAACTGTTCAGCTTTCTGTCTCTGTGTTTTGAGTATATATGTAAGAAAAAACATCCTAGATTTGTCTTTTTTGTGACTGGCTTATTTTACTTAGCATAATGGTCCCAAGGTCCATCTTTGTTGTGGTATAGGTCAGAATTTTTTCTCTCCCTCATTTTTTAAAGAAGTATTCATTTAATTTTTAAGTTTATCTCCTTCCTCCCTTCCTCCCTTCCTTCCTTCCTTTATTTTTTTCTTAATTTGATATAAGCACTCAACAGAGAGAGAGAGATAAAAAGTGAGAAAGCAAGCTTCCGGGTCTGGGACTTGAACTATAGTCATCCATGTGGGAGTCCAGTGCCTTAACTACCACACCACCTGCTGACCCTGAATTTTTTTCCTTTTAAAGACTGAATAGCAGTGTGTATATACACCACATTTTTTTTTAAAATTCATTTTATCTTTTGAAGGACACTTGGCTCATTATTGTGTTTTAGCTGTTGTGAATAATGTTGCTGTAAGCATGGACGTATAAATGCCTCTTTTTGAGGCCCTATTTTCAATTCTTTTGGGTCTGTATCCCCCATTGCTGGATATTTTGGTACTTCTGGTTATTTATTAAAAATATTTAATCCCATTTGTTTTTTTATTATTATTATTTTATTTGACTAGAGAGAGACAAAAAGAGAGAGAAAGGGAAAGTGAGAAAGCAAGCCTCCAGGTCTGGGACTCGAACTGTGGTCAGTCATGTAGGAGTGCAGCACCTTTAATCACTACACCACCTGCAGAGCTTCTGATTTTAGATTTTTTTTTTTTTTTTCCCTAGAGAGAGTATGCTTACCAGAGGGAGAGAGAAGATAAAGTCTCCCCACGGGGAATGATCACTCCTAAATTTCTTCTCTTCCATCTCTCCCTCTTTTTGAGATTTTGGGTATGCTAGCACCTTTCTCCAGATGCTGGGTCTGGGACTTGAACCATTCAGTCAGCCATGCCCATGTTTTAAATTTTTTGAGGATCCAACATATTATTACTGTTTTCCATAGTGGCTATACCATTTTACATTCCTACTGTCAGTGCACAGGGTTTCAGTTTTTCTATGTCTCGCTGAACTTATCAATTTCTTTTTTATCGTAGCCATCTTAATGGGTATGAGGTAGTATGACATTCTAGTTTCTTTCTCTTAAAAATTATTTTAAAAAAGTGAATGATAGAGCATGTGTGTATGCAAACGGGAAAGAATCAGAGTTGCCTTCCAAAGGGCTTGGTTACTGCAGTCCTTTTCTTCTAGTTCTCCAGATGGTCAGGGCCCTGGGCATGCACATGTATGCTTGGCGTGACTTTCAGGCCCACTGGGCTCGGGGCTTAAACTGTCTGGTACACTGCTGACTGCACTGTAGAAGCCGGGCCTCTGGTTTCTGGTTTTACTTCGCATTTCCCTAGCTATTAGTGATGTTGACATTCTTTTCATGTGCTTATTGACCATTCGTATATATTTTTTAGAGAAATATCTATTCAAGTCCTTTATATATATATATATATTTTTTTTTTGGTGTGTTTGTTTTTTAGGTTTTTGCTGTAGGGTGTGTGCACTCATTGGAGAGAGACAGTGAGGGGAAGCTGAGGAATCACCTCCCAGGAGGGATGACTGTCCATAATCCTTTCTCCTCCTGGGTTTTTGGGTATGCACGCACACATGCCTGACATGATTTTCAAGCCGCCAGGTCCAGGATTTGAACTGCGGCCAGCTCTGTGGGAGTCCAGTGACTTAACCACCCTACCATTGCTGGACCCCTACTTCACTTTCTTTTTCCTTTTT